CTGTATGTCTGACTCCCCTGGGACGACCCGCGAGCATACCTTACGGCTGCTTTCGGGGACGTCATTCTCGGGAGATTCGAATCGGGGCGTCCCAGCCCCGAACAGGAGAGCATACCTTACGGCCCCACAGGGAGACTGAATGAGTGGACATCTCTAGAATATATATTGATAGGATGCCGCTTATACAGCACGGGTTTACTTTTTAAAGACAACGTACTGAATCCAAAAAAAATTCCTGAAGGGGGCACACTGGCACGTGTTTTAGCGAAGAAAAGCTCGTCTCACATACATATTGTAAGACAATGTCCTTAAATATCCTAGAATAGGAAACCTCGCTCAGGGAAGACCTTCTATGGGAAAGGAACATGGGTAGTAAGAGGAACAGAAAACGAACTGGAGGTTCCGTACTTTCATTTTTTCGTTTTTTACATCTGAGAGCAAGATGGGTGTGGTGCAGTAGGAACGAAATTGTCGCGTCGCGGCGCGAAGGACGCCGCTCGCGAAGGAATGTAGCAGATTGCTGCAGCAGTTAAGTAATACAGTAACAAAAGAACTAGCAGTAAAATCATGCTTAAAATAATGATCGCATATCGAATGAGCTGTATGAAGAACGCTAAAGCTGTAACAACGGCGAAGGGACTGGTGCGACAGCCGAGTGCGGCGAATCGACTACACAGAACCAATCCTGCTGCCCGTCTCCCCTATTCTTGACTTTATAACCGAAGGTTTTCCCACCGCCCATCATTTCACCTGTTTGGTATTTCATGGTCAAAAAACAGATATGGACGTCAATCACAAAAATACCTAATGAGATATTGTTGAATTGCAGATTATCTAACAGTGAACAAGTTCGAAAACGGAACTTCCTGGGTTGTTCAAGGGTCCATACGAGGTATTTCACTTAATCATGTTCTAATCTCCAGAGGATTTCTTGAATTCTTGCGTACCTACCAGCCTTTACTCCCTATCATGACCCAAAGTCCATGGCGGATCGACCTTTCAGAGTAGGCGTGAAACCCACGACTCCTATGAAGAAGACCGCAAACGAATTATGCTGAGATCAGATCTACAGAAGTCGCTTGTGATCCTATTGCCAGGCCATAGCCAGACGGCCAGCAGCCATCACATCATGGAGACTATTGTGTGAGGCGAGGGCATCACGATTCCTCGGTACTCAGCGTAAGGACTGGCAGGGATGACAGTTAGAGGCCCATCGAGTTTTTTACTTTATTTCGGTCTCAGTCATTGCCAGCTTTGTCCGGGCACTACTGTAAACTGTTTCTGTAGGAGTTGCATCTCGCTTGGTTCTCATGGAAAGTATCAGAAAAGCGACTAGTGGGAGCCACGATTTGCTGACACGATAAGATACCATACCAATGCGCCGACTATATCAGTACCATCTACTGTTTTTTGCTCTCACATTGGTAATACTTGGATTGATAGCTTTTTTTAGGTCTACATGATCATAGTGAAATAGTTAACGTTCAGCATTTTCGATTTCGGTGTCGTTCCTTTACGATGTAGACCTTCGCGTGGGAGGTACTATTGACGGTGGCGATTTTTCTAGGCCGTGACCGAATCTGTTATCTCATTGCTGGGTGTGGTGCAGTAGGAACGAAACTGTCGCGTCGCGGTGAGAGAAACGCCGCGCGCGAAGGAATATGGCACAATGCAGAGGCAAGTATGAAAACAGGAATAAAAAAACTGTCAGTAGAATCGTGCCTGAAGTAACAATCGCATAGCGATTGAGCCGTCTGAAGAACACCAGAACTGTTATAACGAGGCTAATGGTCCGCGACAGCCGCGTACGGCGATTCGATTACGCAAAACTGTTCCTACTGCCCGTCTCCTCCCTCATTGCTGGATAAGTGAACGTGTAGAAAGAGCACTGGGTGGAAATGTAGTTGTAGGGGACCACTACACCGTGCTCTGCGTTTCCAACGTTGGTTGCTAGAGCCAGGGAAGGAAGCTAGAAGCTAGAAACCATTCCAGACGAGGGGTGTTGAGTTTTTAGCTTAAGGCTAAGGAAGAGGTGCACCTGTGGCGAATGATATGGACTCCATGCAAAAGTTGGAATGGTAGAAGTGTTCAGTAGGATAACCTAATTGCGAAAACTCAGAGAAGGGCTCAAAAACGAATCGCCTACACCAACTACCATTTCGCTCAGAATCGCCCTAACCGTAGAATCGTCTACAACCGTATTTCATGGCATCTTGACGGAACAACGGAGGTTTATCAGAAAAAATGATCTGGGTGGTATTACTTATTATGTAACCAGAATGAATACAAATTGGAGAATGTGTTAGATACGAAATCTCCTCTACGTAGGAGGGAATTCATGTGAAATGTTCTATGTGGCACACAAATACCCTCCATCAAGTTAAACGTAGGGCGCCCCAAAGCTAAGACCGCGGCGCAACCGCCATCAATCCCACCTGTACAAACCGATCAGCTTTCCTTTGCTTTGCCAAAGTGATTCAATGGGATGCTCGGCTTATCAATGAGCATATGGGCCATCTAATCACATATGTAGGAATATTTATTAGCTTACTATGCAATTTTACTGCGGCTGGTAATGGTTAGTGAAACTTTATTCAGGAAATTATTTTGAAATTCAGGTGCAGTTTCACGAGGAATCACTTTTCAGGTGATTCGCTTCAAGAAAGGACCGGTGATTATGAGGTTGTGCACATTCATGAAGTTACCGATGTAGATAAATTTGTGGTTCGACGAATTTCCTTCACAGCATTTGGTAATGGCTTAAGATTTTGCGTTTTTTCCGGTTTTTATTTTTTTTTCAGATATTAATTGTCTTTTTCATTTTAGGACATTTATACGTTGTCATATTGAATCCGGGTACTGATATTTTCGATCCTTATGCCCAAATTAGACTAAGCGATGGTATTTCGCTACCAATCGATGCAACCGATCACTATCGTGGATATCTTCAAGGTTTGGCAATTGCACTTTTGACCAGTTTGTGGCATTCGAGAAATGTCATTTCAGTGAACAAAGTAGTAGAAGTATGCTCGCTTGTATTTACTACTTAACTACTTTGTTAAACTTTTCAACGAGGAATGGTTGCCTAGAAAGCCCTTTGGTAGGGTCTCGATCGCGCTGTGGGTTACCATGTATGGAAGGGCCATCAAAGTCACAAATGCGGTTTGAACCATGACATCGAAACTTCAGCGTGGTCTAAAGTCTCTACCGTACTTTCAGTCCGGATTCGGTTACAACAACAGCACTGTTTGAGCGAGTGAAAGGTGCCATTTACGAGCATCTTCTAAGAAATACTGGTTATTTTGGCGACAGTTTTATTTGCAAGCAATAGAGAAATTACAGTAGAAAACTCAGTGGAGGGAGGGTAGGGTACCGAATTTCGATGCGTTCAATTACTAGTTGTTTTTTGAAGTTACACCTTTGCATTGAGCTGGCGACAAGTTACTCGAATGTTACACCTGGTCAACTAATTTTCAAACTTCGTGATTGTGTTGGTTTTTTTTTGAAGGAAATCCCCATCAGAAGGTTGTTTTGTCGCGAATTGTGCCTAGTGTTTATATTGGTATGATCTCTGCTGGGAATGATTCCGTTTACATCGAACCAGCCTCGCTTCACTTTGAATCGGCAGATCAACGGTGGGTATCATCTTGGAGCTTTTCATTATAAGATTACTTGTCATGTATTGCCCTAAAATGCTGTACTTTTCAGAGATATACTGGTATTTCGCTCCGGTAATTTAGATGGAAACAGTATTTTTCGGGGCTTAAGTGAAGATGGAATACTGGCTCCAGTGCAGGTGGGGCTTTTCCTACTACGTTGTTCTTTTCCTTTTCATTTCAAAACTTCCGAAGGTTGAGCATTCCTCAAAGTGTCCAAATACATAACTTTCTCGGCAAATGTGTCATTAGGTTTGTTTCCTTGGCAAATGGGTCTTTTCCATTTGTTTCCTTACAATATTCAAGCGCTGATTTTCGAAAACTGTTCGTCATATTACGAAATTTTGTTTTTCACGTCCCAAGTGACTGAGTAAATAAAGATGTTTTCCCTTTTTGAAACGACTTGTTGTTCCACTTCAGAATTCTTTTTCGACCATTACCGGGGTGTCACCAGTTCGTCATCGGAGGCAGGTGATTCCGACGGAGAATGAAGTTCGAAATCGTTGCCCTTTGAAAATTGTGGCTGACTACAAATTTTTTTCGATCGTAGGGAAGAATAACACCGCTCTCACGACACGTTACATTGTAGGTTTTGAATGGTTACAGTTACTGAGTTGATACCATTTTCAAAGTAAAGTATTCAGGTAAACATGGTAGCTAGGGTAAATGAGATTTACACTGTTGTGAATTGGGATGAAGGGCAAGAGGAAACGGAATTGGACAGAGGCAGGTCCGTATTAAAATCTGATTCCTTTTCAAGGAATGCTTATTTATACCTGCTGTTTTTCTAGATTTGTTAATATGGGCTTTTCAATCAAGGAACTGAAGATCTTAGACAAGCCATCGAATCAACCTGGTCATTACAATTCTCGTGATGTGATTAATAACGGTGTCTGGAATTCCAATCGTCTTTTAGAGGTTAGAAGATGAACGTTGGTTCAGTACATAGTATCACCCCGAACGAGCAATTACATTCCTTTTTTCTCTTTTTCTTTTCTATTTGTTATTTCTCAAAACTCAATGGAATTATTTTTATAATTGCTGTCTCAATACTCATTGCAGGCATTTACTCGTGAAGAAGGATCACCTTCATTTTGCCTGGTTCACTTGCTTACTGCTCAGTCATTTGCGGATTCTGCTCATATCGGTTTGGCTTACGTGGCGGATACACGGGGAGGTCCGGGAGGGATTTGTTCTGAATCAACCTTGGTAAGTCCTACTTAACCTCTTGTTGCGGTATTGTTACCAGATGGAGTCGTGTTTAAGGTTCTCGATCGTCAAATCAGTTTTAACACAGTATTTACAAGTGCCATAGGAAATACTGGTCTACATGATTATCCTTTGGTGACAAAGGAGGCAGAAATTGTTGTGGCTCATGGTGACTTGCTTTTCTTCATTGGTTTCCTAATTTTATTTACCAATTATGAACACTGTGCTTATGTCGGAGTCAGTGCAAATCTAGACGTTTGACGATTTCTTGCTCGTCTCTCATTGGTTGGTCCGTGCTGCCTACGCACAGCATCAGAATCAGCC